TTTATATAATAACTTATCCATGCCTGTACAATTGGTATGTTCCTGCATAAACAGGAAGAAATATATTATTATAAGTTCAGTACAGTTAACTAAAATGATGCTAAAACCTCTGACTCACTGACTTGGGCCAACTTGGACATATAAATCCAATAATATATACAATTATACATATGAGTTATTGTTAAAAGACACAGATGTCCAAAAACTCCGTTATAGGTATTAGTAGTCAATGATAGTATATCCAGAGTTTAAGCGTTCGAAAGTTAACGGAATGCAATAATTTCCAGAACTTTGTGGTGAGCAATAACAAAGAAATGAGAGTTTTATATATTACAGCAAAAAGTAACGCACTGATCGGAAAGCGCGCCGGTATTGATTCATACAAGTGTATCACTTATTTCAAATTATTACCAAGTTTGGATATAAATCAAGAATAAGACTCGATGCCTTACACACCAAAGTTGTATGGGGGAGTTACTTCAAGCTTTATTTTTTCCCAAGTATTTGTAATCCATCCATAACATACTTAGGTGTTTTTAATGCGAAAGCAATAATTCTATATATTTTGACGTGCTCCACTGAATGTCTAGTTATCATATTGTTCCAACAAACCATGGACAAAAATGACAGAAACCATGTAATTTAACAATAAACCGAATTTATGTAATTTAAATAATACTTATCCATGCCTGTACAATTGGTGTGTCCTATGCAGGTAGGAAAAATATGTATTTTATTAAACTATTATTATTAAATATGCTTACTAATCGTATATGTAAATTATCATATTGATGATGCCCGTAAACTGGCGTCCCTCATGTACAAAACGAGAATATATTATTGTTATCTATATTCTACGATACAATGACATGAGAGTGTTACCATTCAAAGTTGAGGATATAGATGATAGAAGGAGGTCAGGAAATGAACTCTTCGACGATTTTCCAGCTTAAGGGCGTCAACCCGAGAAGGGTTGTAGGCGTACTGCTGTAAGTCCTACACTTCTTCAAGGATCGTACGTAAAAGCTCAGTCCATCGTACCTGGGGCGTTAAATTGTACATATGTTCATGTTGTATATACTGAATTGGTATCATCTTTCATCTATTTGTTGGTAACTTTGTTTGTGTCCGGACGTCTTCCACTTGTATCATCAACCTGAGAAGGAATGTAGGCATACTGCTGTAAGTCCTACGGTTCTTCAAGGGTGGCTCGTCAAGGCAGAATCCACAACATTTGATGTATTGTTTGTAAACATGTTTGTGTTAAATAATTGAGTGGGTTCCAATTTACTTCATTGTTGGTTAATTTTATAGTTGTCGCATTGTGTGAATCATCTTGTGATGTTATTGTAAGTACTTCTGGAGTCGTTTCTATTCTTCCTAACCCGTGAACGAATCGAGTAGTGTTAGACTTAGTGTACGCAATTCGATACCCTGGGGAGGGGATCGTGCCAGGGTGATATGGGGCAACACACTTCGTGGACCAGATCAGTGGTGGTACTGTCGACAGAGAGCGGAGATCCCACACGCCGGAAATTGCGAGTAGGTGTGATGTGGTACGCTTATTGTGCGTTGGGCCATTTGTCTTGCCTTTCTATTTTAGCCTAGTCCCGGTTGGCCCAGGTTCTCGCGTTGGCAATTCAGATCAAGGTCATCAGCGCAATGGACAGAGGGGGTGGACCCTTTATTGCCGAGGAGTTTAAATGAACTTGAAAATTGAACGATCGTTCATTGGTCTTGGTCGTCACTGGAAAGCAACTGGAGGGAGCAAATGGTTTGGTCTAGATGAAGATAAACGTTATCGAGGTATATTTTCGAGCACTGTATAGGTTATCGCGTTCAACCCTGAAGATCTGTTTAATCGTTCAGTTTTGTGAATACTTTTACGATTCTCTGGCCGAAAAAAGCAACATTTGGCTGTATTGTGTTCGTAGTAATGCGTAAAATTGTCTTGATTGCCCAGACGAATTGTTACTAAAAACAGTCATCCTTTTTAAGAAATTTCGCATGGAAAGAGTATTGCTTGCTTTTTAGAGCCTTAAAGCTTTGTTATTTGAAAGGTTTTAAATCTTGAGGTTGTAAATAGACCACAGGCAATGGTTGTTGTCATAGCAGTTATTCTATGAGAATAGGGCATTTGAAAGAGAAATAGCCCATAGACATAAGTTAGATGTGTGTTTTGAGGATGCTTAACACCTTTATTATAATAATATTTTATTTCTGGAACAGAAACCAGCCATTTTTACAGGCATGAACACATGTACACTTATCAGAACTTATAATATGATTTGTTAATTTAGAAATAAGTTGAATACTGGTAAATGTGAGAGAAACATTTAAAATGAAGTGTACAAATAAGGAAGTAGATATAGCGTCAAATCTAAACTGTAATTGAAAAAAGGACGGCATGTCAATTTCACGCGGCAATTATAAATGATTGCGTTAGTTGTGGAAAGTAAGTAGCATTTTTGTACATATGCTGACATGATACATAAGCACTGTAGAATAAACAACAATAATCAGTAAATGATTCTCTTGTAATATTTTGTAATCGTAGTATTAGCATTTCGAGATGACCGAATTACAAGAATCCAATCAAAACAAAGAGGGGACGGAATTCAGGAATTTGTATTTAGCGGGATTATAATGCCATTCTGATATGTATCCACATATATATATTTATATGTGAGTGTGTATGTTGGTCTGTCTTTCTGTTTGCTTGCTTAGTCTGTGTGACCATTTCACTTGTATGAAATTGTCTCCTTTAATAATGTGTATTCTCCTTATCTTATATTATATATAATAATAATAATAATATATATTCTCACTTTTTACATGAGGGACGCCAGTTTACAGGCATCATCAATTCGATAATTTACACATAATATTAATAAGCATATTTAGTAAAGATAATATAATAAAGTACATTTTTTTCCCTAGCTATGTAGGGTACACCAATTGTATAGGCATGCATAAATATTGTTTTAATAATAATAATATATTCCTTCCTGTTTATGCAGGAACATACCTATTGTACAGGCATGGATAAGTTATTATATAAATTACACATAATTTCATGCATGATGAATTTACAGTTTGGTTGTTCTTTCTGACATCAAAGTCAGTCGGAACAGTCTGCTATAAAGTCTGTTTGTGTAGCACATAAAGAGATATAGAAATATTGTCTTCGCATTAACAAAAAACCCAGACATCACATGAATGTAATACAGATATCTGGGAAAAATAAAGCTTGAAGTCAATTCTCTTATATAACTTTGTTGTGAACAGCACCCTTGGCTTAAAGATTATTGATGTATTATGTTGAGATCAGTGATATATTTATTCCATTTTTCAGCAGTCTTATCGTAGTTTCATAACAGGAAAGAAATTTGATCGTGGAGGCGAAAATTAGATAAGGTCATGTCGGGTTGTTTTACTGCATCAAATGGTCCCGAGGTCGATTCCAGAATTCTCCATTTGCGCCATTTGTGTCTGCATGGCGGACTGTACTCGTAAGTTGAGTAAAATGTTGAAAACCAGTTGCTTCTTTATTTCAGATCATGAATACTCATTTACATCGTGTCCGTCTGCTTCTTTAAATGGTAGAATTGGATCGTTCCTGGAATTTGAGTGATTATGGGATAAATGGTTTGGAATTAATTTTTGATTCAGCAACCGGTGAATTTTTTATTCTTTTCGATCTAGTACCAGAATAACTGCGAACCATTCCATTCAATATGTCGAATAAGGCACGCAGGAGGAGATCATTACCATGGAATGAGTCAACTTGATCTGAGATGCAGCTTTCAGCATGTTTTCGTTATATCATAGATATCCAGGTTTATTGGCGCTGTAGAGGCAGTGATTTGGATTATAACGTAATCTACAAAGTCTCCGTGCCCATTTGAAGTATACATATGCTTTGAAAGGATTACTTTGTTGGCTCCTACCCCCACTGAGTGTTAACAACAGCTGCTGTGGGTTTATGTATTTCCTCGCCTTTTTGGATAAAACATCGCCGCATTCTTTTTGGGTAGGAGACCAGTTGGTGGATTATAAATGATATCCAAGTAACTTTTATCTTTTCATGTGGTGTTGCGGTAAGTTTCTACCTTGTTTTCTCATATTTCATTCGTATGTTGATTATGGTTCGCCCTTTGTATCAGGTAGACATAGTTTGATCGACTCTTGGTTGAATGGGTGTTATTGTCATGACTGCTGCTTTTTTGTCTGGAATTATAAATAGAGACAAAACAAACAACAGGTGTAGTCTCTGAGTTCATACATTAAATGGGCCTATGATTTCTGAAACTCTTACATGGGAATTACCATTGGTATCAATTACAAACTCACTTAGTGTGTCATTAAGTGCCTTTTCAAAGGAGGCCAATGTGCTTGCTAGTCGTATTTTCTCAGGTAGTTTGTTCCATATTTGGGCATACCTAATCAAGAAAAACTTTTGCCTGGTGGCTGTTTTACATGGTTCTATAGCCACTGTACCTTTAGTGTGCCTAAGGTTGTATCCTGTGTTACCTGAGGACCGAGTATAGTTAGCAGGGGTATACACTATTTGGTTAAGAAGCTTATAGAAGAGTAACAGATTTAGTCGCAGTCGCCTTAACCATAATGTTTCTAGTCCCAGGATTTCACATCTGGTAGAGTAGTTTGTGCCGTTATCGGTTCCGAGTACTTTTCGCGTGAAGTACCTCTGTACTCCTTCTACTTTCAGTTTGTCTTCTATGCGTGTACTGCTGAATATGAATGAGCAGTAATCTAGGAGTGGGCGCACACATACCTTGTACAGTAGTATTCTGGACTCGTTTCTGTAGAAGTTCCTGAGTAGGAAACCAATAAGCCTTCGTGATTTCGACACTTGATTCGAGATATGCTCTGAAAATGATAGATTGTGTGAATATTTCAGTCCTAGGTCTAGTACAGATTTGAGTCTGGGGATTTTGTGGCCCTGAATTGCTAGGTTGAGGTCAAGGTTGGAACAGCCTATGCAGAGCCATCCACACTTTTCAACATTAAACTCAAGTCTCCACGTGTCACACCATCTATCCATTTTTGCTAATTCTTCATGTATGGAGTTCATAGTTGGGCCGATATCTGTATTTGTGCAGGTATATGTCACCTTCAAGTCATCTGCATACAGTATTGGCTTGCCTATACTAAAACATTCACATATACTGTTTATGTATATAATGAAAAGAAGGGGTCCCAATACACTCCCCTGGATGACACCACTGCTGATTGGTCTAGGTCTGGAGGTCATTGAGCCAACTTTAGTTGTCTGATTCCTGTCATACAGAAATGATTTTATCCAATTGTAGAGGGGGTTGCGTATCCCTAGTGAGCATAGCCTACCGACTAACAGACTATGTGGGACTCTGTCGAAGGCTTTCCTTATATCGAAATAGAGGATAATCACTAGCTCTCTCCTATCTCTTCTATAGGTGACTTCGTTGAAAAAGTCTATATGGCAAGTGACGCAAGATCTTTTCTTGAGGAATCCGTGTTGTGACAGGTTGATGAGTTTATGTTTTAGAAAGTAGTCTGACATTTGGTCTTTGATTACTTTCTCCATGATCCTTGATATGACTGGTGTTATATTGATAGGCCTATAATTACATGCACTAGTTTTGGCCCCTCCTTTATGCTTAGGTAATATATATGTGTTTTTCCAAGTTTCAGGGTAGGTTTCGGTCACTAGTGAGATATTAAATATTCTAAGTAATAATACAATCATATCCGTACCACCGTTTTTGTATATGACGGATGGTATATCGTCTATCCCACAACTACTGTTAGCTTTTAATGTCCTTACCGCCGATGCTATATTTTGTATATTAAAGTTTATTTCACCTAACTTGTAGTTATTTTTGCAGGTTATGTCGAGAATTGGGGACGGATGTGCTTTGGTGTTATTGGAGAACCACTCACTCAGGAGTTCACTAATGATCTGGGGATCATCATAAATTATATCTTCGTGTTCTAAATGACTGATATTGTTTTCTTCACCCTTCTTCATCCGTTTTTGCAAGATTTTGCAGAGTTCCTGGGTTTTAGAGGTGCCCTCTAGGGCTTTATTTTCCTCGACTTGTGCTTTCATTTTATGTCTCTCATCTAAATTTTTAAATATTTCGTGTATCAGGTGTAATGCATTAAATTCTTTGTATAAATAAAATCTCCTTTTTAGTTTCCTTAGTTTTATTCGCGTTTTGCGATCTATGAACAGAGTTGGTGTCTTTAGGGCAGATTTCAGGGGTGCGATTGTGTCTCTTACCGAACTGATTGTCTTGTAGAAGGTATTTAGTATTACTTCTAAGTTATTATTGGTGAAGTATTCACCCCAGTCTGAGCTTCTCAAGAGCGTTGGTAGGAATTCCCAGTCGGCATTTCGATAGTCCCTATATTGATAGTAAACCGGGGAACTCTTAGGTGTGTGTTTAGTTGTTAGTTGTAAGGGTAGGGTGCAGTACAGTATGTTGTGGTCACTGTTGTCGAGTTTATCCCTCACCTCTATCGAGATCGGCTCTATTTTGTGACAGAGGATTAAGTCGAGTATATTGTTGTGTCGTGTTGGGAGGCGTACGCACTGCTTCCATCCTCCTACATCTATGGCTTCTAGGATCACCTCGTAGGTTCTCGGTCCAGTGCAGGTATCCCAGTTCACTCCAGGGAGGTTGAAATCGCCACAAACTAGTTTGTAGTCGAATTCCAGCTTAGGTACAACCTCTAGTATTTCTCCGATAACCGTATCAGTCGTTATAGGGCTGTTAGGGGCTCTGTATATACATCCCACAAGAATGTTATTTTCATTCGTGTGGATGCTTATCCACTTGGATTCTGGGAGTTTGTCGATAGTTAGGTTTGTAAAGGTATTGGAGTTAGTGGATTTAGAGGCATATATTAGACAGCCTCCTCCTCTCTTGTCTGCTCTGTCATTCCTGTGGATGTTATAGTTATCGATTATCAGCTTTGTGTCAGGTATATCAATAGTAAGCCAAGTTTCAGTTACCAGAATCAGTGTTGGCCGCTCCATGTATACCAAGCTGCGAAGGGAAGTTATTTTGTTAAGGAGAGATCGAGCATTTAAAAGCATAATTTTCAGAAAACCAGGGTTGTTGGGATAGTTAGTAGGTTTTCTTGTTACTATCCCTAACTCCTGGTTGCCTATGTTATGTTCGGAGGAATCCTCATATGAGACATTGTCAGCGTGTTTACTATTCCCTGGACAAATTGTGCTGCGAGGGGGGCTATTGCTTGCTGCAGCCGAAAATAATCCTGTTGCATATTTTGACTATTAGCATCCATGGGTCGGCATCTGCGTTCATCTACTGGTGATATATGGTCTGCCCTGCAATTTGGGTTGTAGTTTGCTGGACCTGGGTACCCTGTGTTAAGACTACCCTGGTAGTTGTACCTCATGGGGCTTTCATAGCCGTATGCATATTGGCTCACGTCACGTGCGTGAGTGAAGTTATTGAGGGGATCAAGTGTCGACCTGTTCTCATTATGTTGATGAGGTCTAACATATATAGTGCGGGAGTCTGGACGAGAATTTTCGTTAATATGGTGCCTATATGAGTCCCGTTTAGTGCCCCATGTATCCCGAGGATCCATTCTACGTTGCATTCCCAAGTTATGTGCGTTGTTAGGCATGTTACTTCTAGTCCGGGAAGGGGTATTCCTTCTCATATGCTGCGTGACGTCTTTGGGAATGTGCTTCGTTACCCATGCTTTGTCATTTTTTAGACTGACACGCTGCTTATTTGACTTATTACGAGGGAGGTATGTCGAAGTCTGGGGTGGGACTCTGGGTTTTGTGGTCTTTTTTGCGGTTTCTACTGAGGGACTCTCTGGCTTGGATCCAGATTGAGTGTTTCTTTTTTTTTTTTTTGGTCAGCCATAGTTTGTGCGTCTATGTCAACCTCATGTAGGTCAGCAGGTTTTCGAGATGTGCTCTCGTGCACTCTAAGACTGCACCCAGTGGCACTGCTCTTACTGAGTTTTGGGTCGCTCTTACTTGCCGTTTTTTCTCCTAACACTATACACGTGACTTGCTGTGCCTCAGTGTCCGTCGACTCTTTAGCACTGATACCAGATGTATTTCTCAGTGTTGTCAACTTTGTGTCGAAGGAGTTCTTGGTTGCTTGCCTTTGGTTTGGTGTTTTATCCGAGACTACTTTGATAGTCTTGAATTTAGTGGTAGTAGCCAGAAGATCTTCGGCCATCTTAAATCGTTCAGCTGTTATGTAGCTGTCGAACCTAAAGAGTATAGGACAAGGATACTTCAGGTCTTTTTTGCTTAGGCGAATGCACTGACAAGGTGCATTCAATAGATTTGCAGCCTTCAGCAATGAGTGCTGGACTGACTTTATGGGCTCACTATCCGGTACATTATATACTATTGCGTTTTGTTTTGAAGCCAGCCTTTTAACAACTTCGCTGGATAGAAAGTCGATGGCGTTTTCTAACTCCTTCGCATTTTCTGAGTCAGTATGAGTCATTCTAGAGGTCATATTAAAAAGCTTTAGGATTGTAGGATCCTGCATTTCTTTTTTCATACGTGAGATAGTTTCAGGTATACATTCTAGGGAACTTAATTTCGTTTTTAATTCATCTATCTGTAGCTGCATCTCTTTAATTACGCACGTTAAGTAAGAGAGCTCTACTTTTTCAGACAGAACATCTTCCACCTGTATTACAGGGGTCAGAGTTATGTTCGAGGCTTTTATGTTGGGTGAACTACTAATAATATGGGGTGGTAATGTGTTATTAGACGAGCCGGTGCTATTTTCTAAGTTACTGGTGTTCACACGAACACGCTTTTTAGAATTTTGAACCATCGTTATTAAAGATCAATTATTAGTAACCAATAAATGAATATAAGCGAAAACACGTGCAAAAGCGTCACCTGATTTGAACGTACCGGGCGATATAATATGAGTGTTTGTTGACAGTCCGTTGCTTAGTGACATATATCCATATATTGTTGTTTGACATGTCTGCTATATATATTTCGTTATATATATATTTCGTTCACACATTCTGTGTGAACTACTTTACTTACTTATCACTTTGGTGTGAGACCATTTATTTTCGTCTCCTTGTGTTTGGACAATAGAAGTATCATCGCAAACCTAGTGGTCTTCTGATTTCCGCCTTCTCGCGTCAGGACTATTAGTTTCTCGACCAGTACATAGCAATAATTTAGCGACGAGTACATAACAATTTGGCGACGGGAACTAGTACATAACAATTTGGCGACGGGGAAAACTACTATTAACCACTCAGCAGCAGCAACATAACAATTTACTATGGATTATTCTAAATTGGAATTATTGTTTGAACAACAATTGAAATTAATGGAAATGTTCGTCAACCAACAGACTGGTCCAGCTTCACCTTCAAGCAATCCCAATCATACCATGCTACCATCTGTCGACGGCATTGTGAACAGTATTTCACAGTTCAATTATGACCCAGAGGCTAATGTCACTTTTGACACATGGTATCAACGTTATGAGGATTTATTCACTGTTGATCTCGCCTCACAAGACGATGCCTGGAAGGTGCGAGTGTTGCTACGTAAATTGGGTCCGGCAGAATATGAACGGTACTGCAACCTAATTTTACCCCAGAAACCACGTGACAAGTGTTTCGATGATACAATAAAGCTGCTGCGTGAACATTTTGGAGACCACTCCTCATTATTCAGCATACGTTATCGTTGCCTCAAGCTGACAATGAATGAAAATGATGATTTTCTTACTCACGTTGGCACAGTCAACCGAGAATGTGAGAGATTTCGACTCAGGTCCCTAACAGATGATCAATTCAAAACCTTGATCCTCATATGCAGTCTCCAATCTCCTCGTTTCACAGATATCCGAACTCGACTGCTCAATCAGCTAGAACAAAATCCCAAGTTAACATTACGTGACATAGCTGATGAATATCAACGGCTGATTAATCTGCAGAAAGACACACACCTGGTCGAATCAACACCTTCGAGAAGCTCTGATATTCGTGCATTACGAAAGAGCAAAAATCTCTCATCATCTACTCCTGACCCACCTTCTCTTAATGTCCCGCGGAAATCTACACATACTCGTCCAACTTCACAAAATACTGCAAAGAAGACCCCACCATCACCATGCTGGCACTGTGGCGCGTGGCACTTTGTAAAGTCTTGTCCGTACAAAAATCATCGTTGCAGCGAGTGCAACATCGTCGGTCATAAAAATGGTTTTTGTCAGCCACGCAAACCCAGATGTCAAAATCC